GTGGTCCCCTGGCAAAGACCCTACCCTCCAGCCTGGAAGCCCATTGCCCTAAATAGGAACAGGCATTCCTGTTTTCACACCCCCTATCCTGTACCCATATAAACCCCAAATCCCAGACTCCACAGGCAGACAAATAGAAGAGCAGTAGAATGGCACAGCAGAGAAGGAGAGAAGAGAAAAAATGTCTGAACGTCGAGAGGAGTTCAGCTGGGGACAGCCGGAGAGGAGATCAGCTGCTGGATAACCAAACTCCAGGGGAAGATCATTTTCCCACTCCATCCCCCTTCCAACTCGCTATCCATTCCACTGAGAGCCACCTCCACCACTCAGTAAAACCCCTGTATTCACCATCCATCAAGTCCATGTGTGACCTGATCCTTCCTGCACGCTGGACAAGAACCCGGGTACCAAGATGGCACTGAGCTTGTTAACACTTAAGCTGTCAGTGACAGCAGAGCTAAGAGAGCACTGTAGCATGCCCACTGGGGCTTTGAGAGTTGCAGACACACATCCCTAGACTCCTAACGTGGGGCCAGAGCCCCAAGAGCACTTGCCTGGGCTCCCTGCACCCTGCTCGTCTGCGTGCTTCTCCTTCCATAAGGGGTTTGAGCAGCAGCTGCAGCCAAACAGACGAGCCACACACCTGTCGCACATCCTGTGACGGGGGTCAGGGAACTCTCCTATATCACTTTAGCCAGCCCCAGGTTCCCTGGCCATCCAGTTGAACCAAAGTTCTCTCTCTCTCTCCCCCCAACTCTCTCTCTCTCTCTATATATATATATGTATATGTATATATATATACACACACACACACACACACACCCCTACTCATAGAATTCTGTGGATTGTTTTTCAAAGCCTTTTCACATTATCCTCTGAAATCTTCTTACTGTGTTACTGTTTTCCCTACTCAAGGATTGGGACCGAATACAAGGCTTGGCTCATGATAGCATCATTGTCACAAACAGCAATGCCAGAGACAGGATACAACCTTCTGAGAGTGATTCTTTTCCTCTGTAACTTGAAAAATGTAACTCTAACTATTTTCTCTTGTTTAAAGAGAGCTGTGATCACAGTCAGTGTTATTTGAAACTTATTAATGAGACATAATATGCAGCTGTAGTATTTTTAAATAAAATGAATAATTTTCCTAATTCCACAAAACATTCAAACGTAGAAGGTGAAATATAAATGAAGACAAAGGAACTCATGAACCTCAAAGAAATTAAACTTTATCTGAAGGAGAGTCACCCAATCATTATTTTTATGATTTCAAGGTTTCCTGTTTCTGAGGATTTTAAGTATTTTTTTACCCTTATCCTCTATGTTAGGGTGTGAAAATGTTAAGTATTTTTGAGGGAACTGGGATTAGTAGTTATGCCTATAATATTTTGTTTATGTTGGTGGGTGAGGAAGAAGTAGGACTGAGAAGTATATTTCAAGCTGCTTCTGAGAAATTCCCAGTAGTCGGTAATACCTGCCAGATTTTCAACTCCCCAGATAATGGTCAGTTAGATGTGGTTTTTACAGGTTCACAGGAGGGAGGCAGAAACATAAAAAGAGTGAGCTGATTTCCAGGAAGAGTGGTTCCTGGTGGTTAAGTGGATGGTAAAGAAGTTAAGTTTCAAAGTCCGATTGGAAATTGCAGCTATGGAATTCAGAGTAATTGTTGCTGAGGCTTTATAGCCTGTGGATTTGGCCTGCTGTGCACAGGGAGTGGTTCTTGGTTTCTAGCCCAGAGCAAAGTGGCAGTGAAGCACAAACACATATGCAAGACCTTCTGTGGGGGGGCAGGGGGGTTGGTGACTGGGTTTGCTGGAATTACGCATGAAATTAACCGGCAACTCAAGGAGTTAAAAGAAAGCACTAGAATGTGGGAACTCCTACAGGAATCCAATTGACTAATCAACATTATTTTGAAATAGCTCTTCATAGTGGGATTTGTTCCAAGCAAGGTAATGCCATCCATCACGAGCTAAATAAAACCCTGGTAAGATCAACACAGTCCTGGTAAGATACGTTTTATGATTAAAGCCCACAACAAAGTGATTTGTACAAAAGGACTGTATAGCGCAGTGCTTCTTAAATTCCCCTGTGCACACCAATCACCTGGCAATCTTGTGAAAAGAGAGATTCTAAGGAGGGTCCTGAGATGATGCATGTTAAAGCAGCTCCTGGGTGGGACTGGTACAGCCAGTTCTCAGACAATGCTTTAAGTTGCAAAGGCAGGTACTTAAGTAAATACGTTGCTCTTACATATTAGATTATGAAGTTGTCCTGTAAATTTCTTTGACAAGGTAAATTAGTCTGTTGTTAATAATCCTATTCACTCCTTGACAAAATAAACAAGTCTGTGGTTAATAATCCTATTCACTTTTAAAGGGTATGGACATCCAATTCTTTTTTTTTTTAAATCAACTTTTATTTTAGAAATGGGGAATACATGTGCAGGTTTGTCACAGGCGTATAGTGCACCCAGGGAGTGAGCATAATAAACAATAGTTTTTCAACCTACTCCCTCCCCCTCTAGTGGTCCACAGTGTCTGTTGTTCCCATGTTTATGTCGTTGTGCACTCAATATTTAGCTCATAGTTATAAGTGAGAACATGTGGTATTTGGTTTTCTGTTCCTGAAATAATTTGCTTAGTATTTTGACTTCCAGCTCCATCCATGTTGTTGCAAGGACATGATTTTGTTCTTTTTTATGGCTGTGTAGTATTCCATAGTGTACATGTACCACATTTTCTTTATCCAGTCCACTATTGATAGGCACCTAGGTGGATTCTATGTCTTTGCTGTCGTGAATACTGCTGCAATGAACAGATGAGCATATGTGTCTTTTTGGTATAATGATCTATTTTCCTTTGGGTATGTACTCAGTAATGGGATTGCTGAGTCGAACAGTAGCTCTGATTTAAGTTCTTTGAGAAATCTCCAAACTACTTTCCACAGTGACTGAACTAATTAACATTCCCACCAGCAGTGTGTAAGCATTTCCTTTCCCCACAGCCTCACCAGCATCTTTTGTTTTTTGACTTTTTAATAATAGCGATTCTGACTGGTGTGAGGTGGTATCTCATTGTGGTTTTTGACTTGTATTTCTCTGACGATTAGTGATGCTGAGCATTTTTCCGTGTCTTTTTTCAGTAGATATGAACACTTGCATGTCTTCTTTTGAGAACTGTTCATGTACATCAAATTCTCATTTCTATCTTCTGCTTTAAAAAAAGGAGGGAGAATATTTCTTCATTAATGACCTCATGGAAAAATCATTTTTAAAATCTCCATATTAGGCCAGGCATGGCAGCTCATGTCTGTAATCCCAGCACTTTGGAAGGCTGAGGCAGGCGGATCACCTGAGGTCAGGAGTTCAAGACCAGCTTGACCAACATGGTGAAACCCCATCTCTACAAAAATACAAAAATTAGCCGGGCATGGTGGCAGACATCTGTAATCCCAGCTAGTCAGGAGTCTGAGGCAAGAGAATCGCTTGAACCCAAGAGGCAGAGGTTGCAGTGTGCCAGGTACAGTGTATATTCCAGCCTGGGCAACAGAGTGAGACTCCATAAAAACAAAACAAAAAAGCAACAACAAAAAAATCCTCCATATCAAGCCCTTTTTTTTGAGACAGGGTCTTGCTCTGTTGCCCAGGCTGCAGTGCAGTGGCCCCAATCTGGAACTGCAGCCTCGACTTCCTGGTCTCAAGCAATCCTCCCACCTCAGCCTCTCGAGTAGCTGATTCCACAGACATACACCATCACACCTGACAATTTTTTGTTTAACATTTTTTTTTATTATTATACTTTAAGTTCTAGGGTACATGCGCACAACATGCAGGTTTGTTACATATGTATACATGTGCCATGTTGGTGTGCTGCACCCATCAACTCGTCGTTTACATTAGGTATATCTCCTAATGCGATCCCTCTCCCTTTCCCCCTCCCCACAATAGGCCCCAGTGTGTGATGTTCCCCACCCTGTGTCCAAGTGTTCTCATTGTTCAGTTCCCACCTATGAGTGACAACATGCAGTGTTTGGTTTTTTGACCTTGTGATAGTCTGCTGAGAATGATGGTTTCCAGCTTCATCCATGTCCCTACAAAGGACATGAACTCATCCTTTTTTATGGCTGCATAGTATTCCATGCACACCTGACAAATTTTTAAATTTTTTGTAGAGACAAGGTCTCACCATCTTGCCCAGGCTTACCTTGAACTCCTGGGCTCAAGCCGTCCTCCCGCCTTAGCCTCCCAAAGTGTTGGGATTACAGGCATTAGCCACGCACCCAACCTCAGTCTTTATTTAAAGACTGAAAATACCAATGCCATTTATTTGACTGATGCTCCTGGTTATTAAAGAAGTTACAGTAAATCCAGTATGTTGCCTACATACAACAGCGGCATTCAAAAAGTATCTTACTAGCTGTTCCAGTAAGAAAAGTCGCTTTTGTGTTAAAATTTGAAAACAAGTACTTCCTAGTTTGAGTATTAGGTTATCTTTAGCGCAGGACCATCCTGTTTTGGAGGTAGCATCATATGATAGTTTGAGCACAGACTTTGAAGTCAGACTTTCTAGATTCTAATCCCAGTTTTGCCACTTGCTGACTGTGTGCCTGTGGATGAGTGCGCAATGGTGTACTCATCTGTAAAATTGGTCTGCATTCTCCAGGTGTCACTGGATTGAGTAAAAATCTGCAAAGCTCCTAGAATGGTGCCCAGCACTTATATAAGCTACATAAGTGTTTGTTAAATATATGGTTAAAATAAATAATATATGCATTAATGTCATATCTTAGTTGCTCAGTGGTCCTATGAAGTCCAGAAAGCCTGTTCTCTTTTTACCAACTGAAATATCCTACAAGACTTTGCCAACAAGTAGCTGGTCAGAGAGAAAGGAGCCGTCAACCAACAACCTGAGAACCCCAAAATATATACATGACACTTGGAAATGCATTCATTTTCTTTATTTGATTAGACTTACCTCGGTCTTTTGATTTTACAGTTGGTGATGTATATTGGCCAAGTGGCCAAGGATATCTTGAAGTGGCCCCGTCCCTCCTCCCCTCCAGTTGTAAAACTGGAAAAGAGACTGATTGCTGAATATGGAATGCCGTCCACCCATGCCATGGCGGCCACCGCCATCGCCTTCACCCTCCTTATCTCTACTATGGACAGATACCAGGTAAGGTGGCCTCGTTCTTCTTCCTACCCATCTACTGTGGCAGCAAATAGAGGCTGCACTTCTGAATTTTCTCTTAAAGCTGCTTTGAGGGACCTTAAGGTTTATGAAATAAAGATTAAGAGAAACTGAAACCTATTAAGCAGATGACAATTGCATCATAAATAAAGTGACCGTATAATTTAGCATCTAAATCAGGTTATGCCTGAGTGTGAACATCAGCACCGTTAATAATGACACCAGGACAACTAGCATAATATGGACCATCCCCAGAGACCAGCATGTATTATCGCCCTGGGCTGCCTGACGAGACAGTGCTTGAATTAGTGTTCTCATCCTCTGTTTGCAAGAGGAGTTTATGTCCTAGTAAATGATTCTCCAGGGCTGAGATGATTCCACCAAATCCCTCTGCCAGACTCCCTGGGGCCTGGGGCAGCAAAGAGTCTGTGACTCAAATTAGCCTCTAAGGATGTCTCTGCCCTGGTTAAGGCTCAGCCACTAGAAACGATGGCTCAAAGTTTTCTAGAATGTTCTAAATGGCAGAGGATTAATAAATGCTGAAAATAGAAGAATTTTACTTAATATCTGCTTAAATGCCAATTATAGTAAGACTTAAAAGGTTATACTATTACAGCAATGAAGTTATTTTTCCTATTTGAGACCTATGGCTCTAATCCTCTGTTTAGTTTTATAAGTGTTATCTTTTACCCTTTGGAAGTTTTGTTTGTTTGTTTGTTTGTTTGTTTTTGACACAGGGTCTCTGTTGCTAGGGCTGGAGTACAGTGGTACCATCAGCGCTCACTGCAGTGTTGACCTTCTGGGCTCAAGCAATCCTCCCATCTCAGCTTCTCAAGTAGCTGAGACCACAGCTATGCACCACTACACCCAGCTAATTTTTTAAAATTTTTTATAGTGAAGGGGTCTCGCTGTGTTTCCCAGGCTGGTCTTGAACTCCTGGCCTCAAGCAATCTGCCTGCCTGGGCTTCCCAAAGCACTGGGATTACAGGCATGAGCCACTGCACCCAGCCCCACTGGAAATTTTAGATTCCGTTAAATCTAGCAGTCTTGTAGATAAATGGCAGTATTGTTTTGCCCTGTCCCTTTACCCCAGAAGACCAGGGATGTTCCACATTCCAGGTTATGCAGAAGCAGGAAGTCAAGCTTCATGTAGCTGGAAAGACCAGGACTAGTGTGGGGTCCCAGCTCTACTGCTGTAGCCTTCTACCTGGTCATCTGGGTTTACACCTCTCTTACATAAGAAAGGGACAGTTACAAGGAATATATTGGACTAGATATCAGCTTTTGTCATAAGTTACTTAAATGTCATGCCAAGGTCAAACAACATCTGAGCCCTCGGCACTGTCTGAATTAACTTAGTGCAGGCTGCTGAGCCATGTTGTACCCAATGTCAGCTGCCCTAGAAGGACATAGTGGGCCAAGCACCAGCTCCCATTGGGTTGCTCTTGGTGCCCAGAGAAGTCTATGAACATGCTAATGTCACTTAAGAGAAAAGCAGCAAGTGGAGGCTCACAGCAGCAAAACCGCCACCATCACCACGGACACATCCATTGCAGAGCTGCCCAGTCCTCCTTAAAAAATTCTTGTCAACTTACATGATGTAGCAGTTTTCATAAGGTCGGAGTCATGTTGTGAATTTCTTTCCTATTTGATTTTTAATGGTGAATGTATTTAGCTAGCTGAGTTGTTTGCTCATAAACAGCTCTAAATATTGGTTTATTTATATATTTTATATGTATTGGTTTATTTATATATATTTATTTACATATATATTGGTTTATGTGTGTTGAGTAACCCAAAAACTATTGAAATAAAATTTTTTAAATGTGTGTTGAGGCTACTGCCCACACCCTAATTTCCAAATATATTAACTCATTAATTCTTAACACTTTTAAATTAAAATCAGAGACTTAGTTAATGATAAAACTCAAGAACAGACATGACAACCAGGTGTTATGGTACTCACGTGTTACATGGGAAAGAACACACTAGGGTTGGACTCAGAAGGCATGGCCTTCAGTTCTGACTCTCACTTACTGGCTGTGTGACTTCAGGCAGATCATTTCACTTCTCTGAACCCCAAGCTCCTGTTGTGAGAGTCAAATGGGAGCATTGAGGGGAAAGTGCCTTTGTGATAAAGTTTATTAACGATGTCATTTATTATCATGGTTAAGGGCTCCCTCATTTGTAAAATGGGGCTAATAACAGAGCCTACTTCATAGGGTTATGTGAAGACTAAGGGAGATGGGATAAAGTGCTTTGCCTAATACAGACAGTGCTCTATTGTCTTTGATCTTCTTACTACGGAATACCACAGACACTAGTGCTTGAAGCAGGTGGATTACATGCCTATGTCTAGTTTATAAGCAAACTATCTGTGTGTTCCTTATATGATTCAGCATTAGCCAGATTCCTCCAGCTGCTAGTATTACTCAGCAGCAAATGTTGAGAGTCAGTAGAATCTGCACAAGTGCTTTTGACATCTGGACGCAAATATGCCGATTCTTACTTTGGGCCCATTGCCCCTGCGTCTTCCACAGAGGAGGAGAAGTCGCTTGTTGGGATTTTCAGATTATAGCCCTGGCTATCTATCTACCTTGCTTCTTGGTCAAATTGTTTGTTTCTTGTTGCTCTGATTTAAGAATAGGTAGAAATCAAAGTTATTCATTTCACTAAAACTGCCAGCACTATAGTTGTGGTCATGAGTCTGAAAGCCAAGTCCTATTACATCTCACGTGCATGCTTATATGTTGGAAACTTCCTCCCGGAACTGTATACCTCGGTATCTTCCCCTTCTCTTTCTTCTGTCTCCCCGTTTAGAAAATGTTTTTAGATAATCAGATTGCTGGTCTGGGGAATGCAAGATTCGGACTAGCAATTCTTGCATTAATGAACCCTATTCCCACCTATGACATGAAATCATATGTCTGAGTGTGATCTAATTCCCTTGTTTTTTCTCCTTACCCCACAGTATCCATTTGTGTTGGGACTGGTGATGGCCGTAGTGTTTTCTACCTTGGTGTGTCTCAGCAGGCTCTACACTGGGATGCATACGGTCCTGGTAAGACTTTGTGGTCAGGTCTTGTGGCGATTGTTTGAATGGTATTGTGCTCACTGTGTCAATATGTTTCTCATACTACTTATTTATAAAATTATTTGCATATGTAATTATATTTCTCATCGTGCCAATGCATTAAGTAATTATTATGTTCGGGTGCATGTACGATAATAGTAATGAAACATGAAGGTAATATCAATGAGGCTGAGCCACGCTGAACCCTCAAGGTTTTGAAAATGGGCTAGAACAGCGTTGGAGACTCGGGTCATTTATATTCACATCGGTTTACTGATGATGCAGCAAGCAGTACAGGAAAAGCCCCCAGGCTCACAGGCACAAGTGAGTAGTCGCAGTTCCCCACTTAGGTCGTCACAGAGAGGGGCCTGAAATCAGGGGTCTCCAGTGCCCTTGCAAGGTAAGGGTCCCATCAGGTCAGAGGAGCCCGGAATCATGGCTTTGATCCTTCCATGCTGTTTTAGGCTGGAGGCAGTGGTGGGAACACAGAGTCCCATCTGCATCTAAAAGTCCATCCACCCTTTTACCATATTAGAAATATTGTCCAGGGCCGCCATGATTGGCACAGTAAAAGTCCTTGAGAATTCAATTTCCCACGACTGCCTTGAAGTTCCAGAGCGTAAGGCTGGCCACGGTTGACCACAGGGGCGCTATTTATCATCGTAATGGGTACAAGAAAGATTTCTTTAAAAAGAAATGGGCGCTTGCTCATTATGTGTTTATCTCAATTCTGAAGCTCTAAAGTTAAGTTAGCAAAAAACCTGGGAGGGAAAGGCCCACGCCCCACACGGGCCTTCTTGCTTCTCTCCCTGGTCCCTGGTGTGGGTTTTTTATGGGAAACATGGAAGGGAGGGGGCAGAAGGACAGAAGCCACAAAGTGAACAGATTGGGGAGATCGTTTGTCAAAAGGAACAGAGGCCGAAGTAACTCAGAGAAGGGGGTTTACGGCTTCCCAAGGATCTATCAGAGAGCAACATTATGCTTTCCTCTTAAAATGCAAAGGAAGGTGCTGATAGTAACCGACTCAAGGCCAGGCCTCAGAAGAGGCAGGCAAGTCTCCAAGTTTAAGGCGTGCTAAAAATCTCAGGAATCAAGATAAATAATTTGAATGCAGTTTTTAAAAAAATCAAAATTCATGCCACAAAACCCCATGATGAGCTAAATAGTCAAATTTTAAGTGAAGACAAGATCTGACCTTGTATTTGCATGCTATGCCTCACCAGCTTCACCTCAGCCTAGCCCTGACCTGGGTGCTGTCTGGGTGAAGGTGGACCTCAGATCTTGGAAATAAGAAAGGAGCAATGAAGGGCCAGTCCTGTAATTTTACCTTCCAAGACACATCCTTGCTGTCCCCATCCCACATCACACCACACTGGTGGCTTCTAAGATGGAGGGAAGGAAGGGAGGAGGGCATTCTCAATTTGCTACACTGCTGCTTCATGTTACAAAGAGGTTCTCTCCAAATATGTTCATGGACATCAATATGGAATGAAGAACTCTTGGGTTCTCTGGCATCTCTTTTTATCTGGGGCTACTGTTTAATTTCTGTAGGCTTTAATAAAAAATGATCTTGGTATTGATAGACTGGATAAAGAAAATGTGGTACATATACATCATAGAATACTATGCAGTCATGAAAAGGAATGAGATCATGTCCTTTGCAGAGACTTGGATGAAGCTGGAAGCCATCATCCTCAGCAAACTAACACAGGAACAGAAAACCTAACACTGCACATTCTCACTCATAAATAGGAGTTGAACAATGAGAACACATGGACACAGGGAGGGGAACAACACATACCAGGGCCTGTTGGGAGGTGGGGGGTGAAGGGAGGGAACTTAGAGGATGGTCAGTAGGTGCAGCAAACCACCATGGCACACGTATACCTGCGTAACAAACCTGTACATTCTGTACATGTATCTCAGGACTTAAAGTAAAATTTTAAAAAGAATGATCTTGAGAATTTGGGTTAAAGTTAAAATGAAAGTAAGCACGAGCATGTGGAGCCACAAAATCCACCTCAATAGAAACACAGCTACAGCCTTTTCTTTTTAAAGTAAATTGTAGGGACAGTAAGCAGATATTTAGGTGAAGATAGATTAGGCCTCTCATCCAGATGCAAGGAATGGGTACCACCCTCCTTTTGGGAGCATTTGTCCCAGAAGAAGCTGGAGCAAGAAGCCGCAGCAACCATTGTCCCCAACCCCATCTGTTCTGTGAGGACCCAGGGCTTCTTTCATGCTCATAATTTTATTTCATAAAGATCTTAGACTCTGACTCAGGCTCAGGCCCAGGTACCAGTCAGGCTACAGGACCAGAGAATGGCCTAAGGTGCAATGATGAGTAATTTCTAGTAGAAGGGAACAGTTGGTTTTAGTAGTAGGATAAGGTAGAATTATGGATTAGTAGTCTTTATTCAGCAGCAACTTAATCAGCTCCTACAGGCCCCTGGGCTTGGAACTAGATCTGGGAGCTCTTGTGGTAAAGAAACCTACCCCGCCCCTCAGGTGTCCAAGTCTACTCAAGGAGACAGATGTCTACACTGCTGATTACCTGACATGATGATATAGTTAGGATGGAATAGCGGGTTGAGCCAACTATGGTAGCCTGCCCCTTCCCTGGGCCCCTCACAATCTCTAGGGAATGTCTTTTATAATGGCTCTCAACCCTAGCTACATATTCAAACCCCACAGGAAGCTTCTTAAAAAATCTCTCTGAAGATATTTGCACCCCCATGTTCAGAGAAGCCTTATTCATAATAGCCTAAAGATGAGCCCAAGTGTTCGCTGACAGAATGGATAAGCATAGTGTGACATCCAGGCCTAACTCAGAGTCATTGCGGGTTCAGTTCCAAACCATCACAATCAAGTGAATATCACAAGCAAGTCACACAATTTTTTTTGTCTCTCAGTGCATATAAAAATGTTTACACTATTCTGTTGTCTGTAAGTGTGCAATTGCATTATGTCTAAAAAAAGCAGTGTACACATAATATCTTAATTTAGAAATAATTTCTTGCTAAAAATGCTAACAATTATCTGGGCCTTCTGTGAGTCATAATGTTTTTGCTGGTGGAGGGTCTGGCTCGGTGTTGATGGCTGCTAACTGATTAGGGTGGTGATTACTCAAGGGTGGAGTGGCTGTAGCAAGTTTTGTTTTGTTTTTGTTTTTGTTTTTGTTTTTGAAACATCTCAGTCTGTCACCCAGGCTGGAGTGCAGTGGTGAGATCTTGGCTCACTGCAATGTCTGCCTTCCAGATTCAAGCAATTCTCATACCTCAGCCTCCTGAGTAGCTGGGACTACAGGCATGCGCCACCACATCTAGCTAATTTTTGTATTTTTAGTAGAGACGGTGTCTCACTATATTGCCCAGGCTTGTCTCAAATTCCTGGGCTCAAGCAATCATACCACCTCAGCCTCCCAAAGTGCTGGGATTACAGGCGTCAGCCACTGTGCCCTGTTTCTTAAAACAGACAACAATGAAGTTTGTCGCATCAATGGACTCTTCCTTTTAGGAAAGATTTCTCTGTAGAACGCCAATGCTGTTTTTTGTTTATTTTTCTCCCCTTTACATACGCCAAACCATGTGATGATATTTGATAGCCTTTTAACCGGAGTAGAACTTTCAAAATTAGAGTCAATCCTCTCAAACCCTGCAATTGCTGTATCCACTACTTTTATGTAATATTCTGTCCTTTCTTGTCATTTTAACAATGTTCACAGCATCTTCACCTGAAGTAGAGTCCATCTGAAAAGATTACTTTCTTTGTTTTTCCATAAAAAGCAACTCTTCATCCATTCAAGTTTTATCATGAGATTGCAGCAATTCAGTCACATCTTAAGGCTCCACTTCTAATTCTAGTTCTCTTGCTATTTTTTTTTATTTTTTTATTTTTTTATTTTTTTATTTTTTTATTTTTTTATTTTTTTGAGACAGAGTCTCACTCTGTCACCCAGGCTGGAGTGCAATGACATAATCTCTACTCACTGCAACTTCCACCTCCCAGATTCAAGCCATTGTCTTGCCTCAGCCTCCCAAGTAGCTGGGACTACAGGCATGCACTGCCATACCCAGCTAATTTTTGTATTTTTAGTAGAAGCAGGGTTTCACCATGTTGGCCAGGCGGGTCTTGAACTCCTGACATAAACTGATCCATCCACCCTGGTCTCCCAAAGTGCTGTTTTTACAGGCATGAGCCAGTGTGCCCGGCCTCTTGCTATTTTAATCATATCTGCAGTTACTTCCTCTGCTGAAGTCATAACCCCCTCAACGTTATCCATAAGTGTTGGAATCAATATCTCCCAAACTCCTGTTAATGTTGATAGCTTGACCTCCTCCCATGAACATGAATCACAAATGTTCTTAATGGCATCTAGAATGGTGAATCCTTTCCAGAAGGTTTTCAATTTACTTTGTCCAGATCTATCAGAGGAATCACAATCTATAGTAGCTACAGCCTTACAAAATGTGTTTCTTAAAAAGTAAGAATTGAAAGTAGCAATGACTCCTTGATCCCTGGGCTGTGGAGTGGATGTTGTGTTTAGCAGGCATGAAAACAACATGAATCTTGTACATCTTGTACGTCGCCATCTTGGGTGACGAGGTGTATTGTCCATTAGCAATAATATTTTGAAAGGAATCTTTTGCTCTGAGCAGTAGGTCAAAGCAATGGGCTTAAAATATTCACTAAATTGTGCTGCGAACAGATGTGCTGTCACCCAGACTTTGTTATTTCATTTCTAGAGCACAGGCAGAGTAGATTTAGCATAATTCTTAAGGGCCCTAGAATTTTCAGAATGGTAAATGGCCATTCGTTTCACCTTAAAGTCACCAGCTGCATTAACCCCTAACAAGAGCATTAGCCCGTCCTTTGAAGTGTTGAAGCCAGACATTGACTTCTCTCTAGCTGTGCAAGTCCTAGATGGCATCTTCTTCCAATGTGATGCTGTTTTATCTACATGGAAAAGCTGTTGTGTAACATAGCCACCTTCATCAATGACCTTAGCTAGGTCTTCTGGATAACTAGCTATAGCTTCTCTATCAGAACTTGCTTCTTCACCTTGCACATTTACGTTTTGAACACGGCTTCTTTCCTCAAACCTCATGAACCAAATTCTGCTAGTGTCAAACTTTTTTTCTGCAGCTTCCTCACCTCTTGGTCATCATAGAGCTAAAGAGAGTTAAGGTTTTTCTCTGGATTAGACTTTGGCTTAAGGGAATGTTGTGACTGGTTTGATCTTCTAACCAGGCCACTCAAACTTTCTCTATAATAAGGCTGTTTAATTTTCTTATCATTCATGTATTCATTGGAGTAGCACTGTTAATTGCCTTCAAGAACTTTTCCATTCCATTCTCAATATGGCTGTTTGGCACAAGAGGCTTAGCTTTTGGCCTATCTCAGTTTTTGAAATGCCTTCCTCACTAAGCTTAATCATTTCTAGCTTTTGATTTAAAGTAAGAGATGACAGCCAGGTGCAGTGGCTCACCTGGAATCCCAGTGCTTTGAGAATCTGAGGAGAGAGGTTTGCTTGAGCCCAGGAGTTGGAGGCTGTAGTGAGCTCTGCTTGTACGACTGCACTCCAGCCTGGGTGACAGAATGAGATCCAGTCTCTAAAATAAATAATAAATAAATAAAGTGAGAGACATGTGACTCTTCTTCCATTTGAACACTGAGAGGTTATTAGGGTTATTAATTGGCCTAATTTCATATTGTTGTGTCTCAGAGCATAGGGAGGCCAGAGGAAAGCGAGAGAACACAGAGACGCAAAATGAGCTCAGGTTGTTGGAAAAGTGGCACTGGTAGACTTGCTGGATACGGTAGTACCACAAAACTTCAATTTCTAAAAAACACAGTATCTGCAAAGTGCAGTCAAGGGAAGCACAGTAAAATGAGGTGTGCCTGTCCACATATGACGGAGTATTATTCAGTCTTAAAAGGGAGGGGGATTCTGACACCTGCTACAACATGGATGAGCCTCGAAGACATTATATTAAGTGAGATAAGCCAGTCGGAAAAGGAAATCTTATATGATTCCAGTTACATCAGGTACCTAGAGTAATCTAATTCATAGAGACCAAAAGTAGAATGGTGGTTGCCAGCGGCTGTTGGGGAGACAGGGAGGAATGGGGAGTTATTATTTATTGTATATAGAGTTTCAGTTTAGTAAGATGAAAGGCATTTTGAAATTGGATGATGATGATGGTTACACAACAACATAAATCCTGTTAATACCACTGGATACTTTAAAATGGTTAAGGTGGTGAATTTTATGTTATGTGTGCGTGTAGACATATTAATAGATATATGGAGGTGGGTCCTGGGCTTTGGTGTTTTTTTAAACTCCCTGGTTGATTTTAATGTGCCACTGGGGTTGAGAGTCATTGATTGGACTAATGATCTGTCTTTCATGCTAGATACGGGCATGCCCCTGAACAAAACTGGGTTGGAAGGTATAGAGAGATAATCTTTAGGCACCCCGCGTCCATATGAACCACTCTGATCGCACACAGCTTTGATGCTTAGGGCATTTAAGTACATCATTCAGGTGGCTGCCTACTTCATAGAAATGGCTCTGTCTAGGCTGGGCGCGGTGGCCCATGCCTGTAATCTCAGCACTTCGGGAGGCCAAGGCAGGTGGATCACCTGAGGTCGGGAGTTCGAGACCAGCCTGACCAACATGGAGAAACCCCATCTCTACTAAAACTACAAAAAATTAGCCAGACATGGTGGCACATGCCTATAATCCCAGCTACTTGGGAGGCTGAGGCAGGAGAATTGCTTGAACCTGGGAGGTGGGGTTTGCAGTGAGGTGAGATCACGCCATTGCACTCCAGCCTGGGCAACAAGAGTGAAACTCTGTCTCAAAAAAAAAAAAAAAAAAAAAAAAGAAGGAAAAAGAAAAAGAAAAGAAAAGAAAAGAAAGAAATGGCTCTCTCTGCATAAGCAGGAGAACAATTCAGGGAGAGAAATAATTTGCTTATCCCACCTCTTAAGAAGTCACTTCTTGTCAGATGTGGTTTGGTGCCCCTGTCAAGGCTTTGATGACAGGCTCCAGCTAGTCTCCTGGGCAGGCCCAAGTGAAGCATGGGGAGGCATTAAACCTGCACAGCTGTGTCATCATCCTCACCAAACCAGATCTGGCCCCACCCCAGGGAGGGCGTCCCTGTCTACCAAGATGCCCAAACAAGAAACATGGGCAACACCCTAGCTCCTCCCTTCCCACACCTCCATCAGTCAGGTAGTCACCAAGCTGAATCTGTTCTGGCTCTTAAATATGCCTCACAGCTGTTCTTACACCACTGCTAGGAAATTATTTCCAAATCTGATTATGCTATTCCATGCATGGAGGAGAGGTTTCTCTATCTCTTGCTGGACGTGAGTAATGACACCACCCCATTTGTGAGCAGCAGCCATTTGGGAATGTTTGGGGAATTGGCCTTTGAGGGAAATCATTACTGTCCATGCCAAAGCATGGAAATAAAACATGAGGGCCCCAATGACATCACGGAGTGACTGTACCACCCCTGGGGCCACCCTACCTCTGGGCTCACCACTCAAGGTAAAACACGGTTCCTTAATGCTGAAGCCAGTTTTTACTGAGGTCTTACATTTTCCCATGGTGAAAGGCATTCTACATGAAGTGATAATTTACAAGAACAGTTTTTTTGGTGTATAATTTCATGTTCTCTTGGTTTGAAGAATAAACCAATTGCATCCAGCTGAAGGAAAAGAGAGAGAGAAAGAGGGAAAGGAGGGAAGATAGAATGTCTTGGAAGGACTGGGGTAGCTCATGGAGCTCAGGAAGCTGTCAAAAAAGCAAGCCTCAGGAGGGACCAGAAGCAGAGTGGCTCTGAGGAGTGCCATCACCTTCCTTTTGGAGTGCCACCATTCATTTATCCCAGCTCCCAACAACTCTTCCCTCAGATGAAAACTCTAACATATGGAGGTGAGACTTCGGTTGCACCCAGCACTACCCTTGGACCAGTGAGCCTTGGCAGGGGGACAGGTCACAGAGCAGAAGTGCAACCTGGGAACCACCCCTGTAGGATGTGAAGGCAGTGTCCTGAGAATAGAGACTGGAAAGAGCCCAGTAAGTTCACCACAATTGAGTATGCCCCAAATCAACTGGTTACCAGATGCATTAGTCAGGAATCCTTGAATGAAAATAACAGACACCAACTCAAACTAGTTTAAGCTTACAGGGAAATGTATTGATGTTTATAACCATAGTGTAAGGAGGTCAGGAGATGCAGCTGGCATTGGGAGAGTGGGTCCCCAGGCCTTGACCTTCATCAGAAGCTTCCCTCACCACTCTTCCCCAAGCTCATCTCTGCATGGTGGATTCATACTCTGGGGCTGCCATCTTCCCTGAGATTGGAGTTCTGGGCTTCATTTTTGTTGTTGTTGTTGTTGTTGTTGTTGTTGTTTCTTTTCTTTTCACTCCTTAAAGGCCTTCAGGGAGGAGAGTTTTAGGGAAGATCTCGCATTGGCCGCACCTGGATAACAAGTCTGTGGCTGCATCAAATGCTATCTCAGGAGTGCTGAGAACTGTGATGGAATCAGCCAGGTCTGGAGCCAACCTGTGCGAGCAGTGGCTCTGATTGGCAGCAAAGGTTAGGGTCGGGATTGGCATACAGGAGGCTCAGTTCTCTAAAATAAAGTGCCTCCTGGCATCAGAAGCAGGGCAGACAAAGTCCCATGATATCCTCTCTGCATCTATAGCATGGCATTTTTTCTACTCTTTCAAAGGCTCAAAATGTGGACCTAATAGTGTGTTTGTGGAGGAAGGAGGGCTAGAGCAAACCAAGAAGGCTGATTATCCTATATCTATGATGCCCTAACTATTCAGCTTACACAAAATGGATTTTAAGTCCTTTGACTAATAAAGCAATCATCCCAAATATATTAACAGTAAAACTAGCCAGAATTTTGTTGTTAGTGAATGTGTGAAATATGAATAAACAGTGAATAGTTGTTCCATTATTTTGCACCTGACCTAGCTGAAATGTTGCTCTATTTTATTGTCCCTGAATTGTTTGATCTGTGGATAATTATACAGATTCTGTTTTATTTGCTTATTCATTTATTTTTTTCCTCCCAAGTTTTGCTTTAGTTTTCATTGGAGTCAGAGAATGTTGAAAAGGCTTCTCAAATACTAAATTATCTGCAGACCATATAAAACTGTGTTCTTGCCTTGGACTAGAGCATTTTTGTTGTATTTTTTCATGTTGTTTAAAAAAACTTACTTCAAACTGCCTTACTTAACATGGGGGAAAAAGCCGATTGCAATACAAATTACACCCTACCAAGCCTTACTTTCTGTTACACCCTGTTGGATGAGTTACTGAGATAAAATGATAATTTAGTTATGTTTCTGAGCGTCAGTCACTATGCTATTATGCCCATTGTTTTCTCTTTACCCTGGAGAGAAGTATGTTTACCCTTTTGTAAAAATAGAGAATTATTTCTAGTTTCAAAAGTAATAAATACTCATGGTAAAACATTCACTCCCTCTTTGTTTTAATTTTTTTAAAAGACAAAATAAATCATTATTATTTAACCACCAAAGGAGAAGTTCAGATACCCATTGTTGGGATGATGTAAAGGGAAATTGAAGGCATTTTATGTGTCTGTATTAGTTGAATCAAAATTAGGCCTTAGCACAATTTCCAGCAAGAGCTTTTGTATGTATTACTAACAACAAACGTAGGCAAATTACTTTTTTTGTGTGAGTGCGCATATGGCATGCAAATTTGAGTTTATTTTTAAATATTGCAATGAAATATACATTGTTCCTAAAAAGGAAATTCTGACACTTAAATGAAATTTGAAAACCAAACAGTAAAAAACAGAGAGAGTTGTAAGAATCCATTTACCAATTTTACAGCTAAAAATTAAAGTGAAGTAGAAATAGCGAAAGATAACAGACAAATATATTATTTTAGGTCATTCATTTATAGTGCCTTATCATCTTAAGTTATAAATAGAATAAGGATTTTGTTATATAAAAACTATCAAAAAGCATCAGTGAAAAGACATGCCCTCCATGAAATGTGTTGAGTGGCCACGGTGGAAATGTCAAAATGCGCCGCCCTGGCTAGGCAACAGCAGCCTCCATGACAGTTTGTTAACTTGTCTTTCGTAGGGGGCCACAGAAAGTTCCATAAAGTGTACTGTTTAACCAATTCCCTTCTATTACCACAACAATATGTACCCAGGGTTTTATGTATATGCTTAAGATTTGGGGAAATGCAAGAGGAAAGGGTGACTGTTTAGAATTTCCTTGGAAATGTCTGTGCACACTACAATGTCCCACGGAGCCAATTCCTTCCAAATTAATGAGCATGCTCTTGATTCTTGAGTCATGGTGTTATTTTCTTCTAATTTTTCCGAACCATCTTTGTTTGACTGGACACCATATTGACAGCTTCAGATGGCAGGCCAACATATACTCCTCCATAGTTTCTCCTCTTGTCATCTTCTGTTATGGATTCTTCTGTTACATCTTTGGCTGCTCCTGCAGGGCCTCTGCCCGGGAGTTCCCGCAGCCCATCGCGCAGTCCGCCGGCTGGGGAAGCCGCACTCCGGAGCTTGCGGCCGCGGGTCTTGGGGGCGGAGACTCAGACCGCAAATTACTTTTTTTTTTTTTTTTAGACAGAGTCTCACCCTGTCACCCAGGCTGGAGTGCAGTGGTGCGATCTCAGCTCACTGCAACCTCTGCCTCCTGGGCTCAAGCGATTCTCCTGCCTCAGCCTCCCTAGTAGCTGGAATTACAGGCACCGGCCACCATGCCTGGCTAATTTTTGTATTTTTAGTAGAGACGGGGTTTCACCATGTTGGTCAGGCTGGTCTTGAACTCCTAACCTCGTGATCCGCCCGCCTCCGACTCCCAAAGTGCTGGGATTATAGGGGTGAGTCACTGAGCCCAGTTCGCTAATTACTTTTTTAAATCTTCTTTCCCAACACTGTTCAACAACCTACAGTGGGACGCAGTGGCTCAAGCCTTTGGGCACAGTGGCCCAGCATTTTGGGAGTCAGAGTGAGACTCTGTCTCAAAAAAAAAAAAAAAAAAAAACAGAAACGAAAGTGGGGGTACCGTTTTCATCTCTTTTACAAGTATGGGAGGAATCAGCTATTAGCTGCTGGGAGGGCTAGAAGTCTAGGATGGGAGCTGGATGACGCCTGAGTGCTGACCACAGGAGATGGACAAAGACAGAAGTTGGTCAGGCACCAGAGTAATGTGGAGGTGTCAGAGGCCCCTGCATGGCAGAGAACCACAGTCAAAAGGGCTGGAGCAGACACTGGGTCCATCTGCCTCAGACCAGAAGCCACTCGCATCCTTTCTGCCGCAGTGGAGAAACCAGTTGGCCCCTGACACTCTGCAGCCTGGCACCTCAGAGGCTGCTTCAGCATGGTGTGTGGTCAGACCTGGAGGAGCCTACAATTAACCGACAATTAGCCTGACTGGGAGGGGAAGTGGGGACCTCCCTGTAGCTAATGGCCAGGCAGCTGAATGGGCTAGGACTCTGGCTTCAGGGATGGTCCATTGGGAAGTGGCTGGTTTATCTCAGAGGAGCCAGAAGTGCCATTTAAATCCTAGCATGCTCAGCTGGGAGCTCGATAAAGGCTTAAAGTCTGAGTGGTACTGAGAATTCATCCACTTTTCCCAAATAAATAAAAAGTGGCCACATTTAGGGGCAGCACGGATTTGAGAGCCAACACTACTGCACGTTGTATTCCAGTTTCTACTTAAGACTAAGAGGTTGATGAAATCTTCCATAGGAGCCAGGCTCCATTTGCTTCTTTCTTTTATTAGGTGCTTGCCTTTGGGATTATATAGTGTGTTACAGGTACTTTCATTGAAGAGTGAAGTTTTTGTATGGGACCTTGTAATTGTATGCCTCTCTTAATGCAAAAAGCACTGTCTTCAAAATTTGTGAAGTCACCTTTTGTAAAACGAATCTGAACTTCCCATATATTTGCATCACTTTGTAATTAAATGATAAGAATAGGTAATATACTCTATTTTAGCTGAAAGGCCAAGGAAGGATGTTTACATCATTGTTTTAAAAAATTGTTTCAGCCAGGCACAGTGGCTCACGCCTGTAATCCCAACACTTTGGGAGGCCAAGACAGGTGGATCACCTGAGGTCAGGAGTTTGAGACCAGCCTGACCAACATGGTAAAACCCTGTCTCTACTAAAAATGCAAAAATTAGCCAGGCATGGTAGCAGGTGCCTGTAGTCCCAGCTACTCGGAGGATGAGGCATGAGAATTGCTTGAACCCAGGAGGCAGAGGTTGCAGTGAGCCGAGATCGCGCCACTGCACTCCTGCCTAGGGAATAGAGAGAGACTCTGTCTCCAAAGAAAATAAAAATAAAAAATAAAATAGAACAAAAAATTGTTTCTTTGGCCCCTTGGGAAAATATAAATGCAAATTTCTGCCAGCAAGATCATTGTTACGACGTTTAGGAAAATATTGGCATGTGCTTGCACTTTATTTTTATTTGTAAGCCTCTAAGTTATTGTTAGTCTGTCCCAATAGTGGAATAAACAGAAAGAGAAATGAAATGATTTACTATAATTCCTTAGCTAACCACTGAAACCTGAGAATAAAGCCTTATTTCTAAATCAAGTTATAAGATAAAATGTCAACCTAGTTCAATAAAGAATTCACCTTCTTCAAAAGGCAAATGAACTCCTTAGAAAAGAAGAATCTTAAGTATTTAATGACAGCACAGCAGCTCAAAGCCATGAAGGCAGAAACAAATCCAATGTGTCAGGGAACTGTGTGCCTCAGCCAGGAAGCCTCCTGTCTTCTTCATGCTGTTTCCAAAACGATTTGGAAAAATTAGGAAATATGAGTGACTATGTATATAAATGTAAAATAGAAAAAGCCCTTTCTAAGCATGATATTAAATGTGTAATCCACAAAAGAAAAGAGTAGAAGAGTTGACTACATAATTTTTAAAGAAATCTCTGCCTATAAAAAAATTGAAAGTCATCTTGAAAACCATAAACGTAATAGGTGATAGACAAAGGATTAATACAGTGAATCAGTAAACAAAAGTCCAGCATAACAATGGATAAGAACAGATAATTCCTAAAAGAAGAAATAAAAATGCCCAATAAATATAAGGAAACAATTCCATATGTATGTATAGAGATATGAAGGAAAAAAATAAATACAAATAAAAGTGAGATACCATTTTTAAATTTTTGCCTGTGAGATTGGTTTTTAAAAAAAAGAATAACAGTCAAGGTTGATGAGGGCCTGTGAGTAAAGGGAGATTGTCATTAAGGGACATTTAAATGCAATATGTATCAAAAGTAGTAAAATGTGTCATGCATACCTCTTGACCCAGGACTTTTTCTAAGAACTTGTCCTAAAGAATAATGGAACAAATACATACAGACACTTAAATGAAGTTACAGTGTTATTTAAAATAGTACAACATTGCAAACGATCTAACGTACAACAGTAAGGATTTATCCAATTAAATGAATGGTATATCAAGATATGGAATGATATTCAGCTATCTAATATTATGTAATTTTTGTTGATGTAGCAGCTTTATTCCTATTCTCTAAAACCTAGAAACAACCTGATGTCCTTCAACTGGTAAAAGGATAAACAAACTATGGTACATCCATTCAATAGCTACTACTCAGCAGTCATAAAGACTGAACTGTTGCATGCAACATGTTGATGGTTCCCCTATGAATTATTCTAAATGAAGAAGCCAACTCAAATGGCTAAATACTATTTACTTTCTGTGACCTCTGGGAAAGGCAAAGCCATAGTGATGGGGAGACCAGGGGTTGCCAGGAATTGGGGTGGTAGGAGGGCTTGGTCCTTCCTCCTACATGAAGGAGTTTTGGGGGGTATTATGCAACTGATTGCTGTAGTTTTGACCTGACTCTGAGCATTTGTTGAAACTCATTGAATTGTAAACCAAAAAGAGTAACTTTTAGTGTATGTAAATTTAAAAATTAAATTGCACTCCTACATATGAGAGAAAGGGAGAGGAAGAGAGAGAGATCTCTTGTAGAGAAATTTAAAAAAAACTCTAAAGAGACTCTAATTTAAAATTTGTGCTACATAGAAATCTGTTATATCATTGAGTGAAAAAAACCAAGGTGATCCTCTCTGTTGCATTTTATACAGTGTTCCATAAAGCAGCAGTCCCGGGAGATTCTCTGATGAGGAAAAAAGGGATTCCTTAAGCAGTTTATGCCAAGTCCTCTGCCCCTCCTCAATGCAATTGTATATAAAGTTTCCTTGTTTTAATTCATAAAGAAAAGAGGCTTAATTGCCTCACAGTTCTGCAGGTTGTACAGGAAGCATAGTGGCTTCTGCTTCCAGGGAGGCCTCAGGAAACTTACAGTCATGGTGGGAGAGGAGGGGAAAGCAGGCACGTCTTACATGGCCAGAGCAGGACTAAGGAAGAGAGTGGGGAGGGGTCACACACTTTTAAATGATCAGATCTCGTGAGAACTCCTACCACTAGAACAGCACCAAGGGGATGGTGCTAAACCATTCATGAAGGATCCACCCCCATGATCCAGTTACCTCCTACCAGGTCCCACCTCCAGTACTGGGGATTACAATTTAACATGAGATTTGGGCAGAAACACAGATCCAAATCATATCATTCTGCCCTTGGTCACTCCCAAATCTCATGTCCCTCTCACATTTCAAAATATAATCATGACTTCCCAACAGTCCCCCAAAGTCTTAACTTATTCCAGCATTAACTCACAAGTTCAGAGTCCCAAGTCCCATCTAAGATAAGGCAAGTCCCTTCCATCTAGGAGCCTGTAAAGTAAAAAACAAGTTAGTTACTTCCAAGAAACAATGGGATTGGGTAAATACTTCCATTCAAAAAGGGAGAAATTGACCAAAAGAAAGGGGCCACAGGCTGGCCCCATGTGAGTGCAAAACCCATCAGGGCAGCCATTAAATCTTGAAGCTCCAAAATAATTATAAAAGTTCCTAAATACGTTCACATCAAAGAAACTGGTTTAGCATTGTTAAATGCTGTTTATTAGAGGAGAAAATAGAATCTATTCTAGGTATTTTAAGCAAAATGGAATTTTATACAGGGAATGTGGTGCTTACAAAGCGTTGGAGGAGCTTGGGGAGCACAAAGATCATTGCTATGCTCAGTGTCCGGCACCACTACCAGATCTCCGTCTTCTGCCTCCCACTTCTCAGCGCTCACCAACCAGATGGCCAGAAACTAGGCTGAACTCAGCCGCTGTAGCTGCCTTGGTTGCCTCTAGAAAACGGAGAGCAGTGACTAGACACTGGAATCCTTAGTCCTGCTGTTGGAGCTCACGTTTCTGAGGCTTTGCCAGATCACAGAAACAGCAGGAGGAAGATGGCTTCCACCTCTGTACTACCTTCTAGATTCTGCAAGAAGGCATCAAACTGGTAGAACCTAATTTCCAAGAGAGCCATTTTTATCTTTCCAACATCTTCAGTTCAGCTGGGAGGTAGGAATGGATACCTAACAGGGTGCCAGTTGATCACATCCATTTCGCTTTGGG